CCACCAGCCTCCAAAGGACTTTCCATCCCCCAAAATTCCCTCCATATTGCTGGGACACCCATGCTCATGATGAGATGGTAGAAGAAGAAGAAAAGATATTGGATTTCTACCCCGCCCTTCACTACCCAAAGGAGTCTCAGAGCAGCTTACAATCTCCTTTCCCTTTCCCTCCCCACAACAGACACCCTGTGAGGGAGGTGGGGCTGAGAGAGCTCCAGAGAGAACAGCTCTGAAATAACTTATGACTGACCCAAGGTCACACCAGCAGCTGCATGTGGAGGAGTGGGGAATCAAACCCAGTTCTCCCAGGTTTGAGTCCACGCTCCTAACCGCTACACCAAACTGGCTCTCCACCACAAGAGGCCTGTGGAACTGGGGTTGCTAACCTTCAAGCGGGGCCTGGAGGGCTGCTGAAACCAAAATTGGTCTCTAGGTCACAAAGATCAGTTCCCCTGCAGAAAATGGCAGCTTCAAAGGGTGGACTCTGTGGCATTACATCCCTCTCTTCTCCAGACTCCACCCTCTGCAGGCACCGCCCCCAAATCTCCATGAAGTTTCCAAGCCAGAGCTGTCCACTGTAGCTGCACTGTTTTGATGAGGCTGGTGCAAAGGGGCATGACTAGAAGCAAAGGTGGTGGCAGTTGAGGCGGGGTTACGGAGGAGACAGGCAGGTGGGATGGGACACTGTAAGGGGTGGGCCCCGGGTGGTGACTGGAGATCTCCTGGAATTACAACTGATCTCCAAATGAGAGAGATCAGGTCACCTGGAGAAAATGGCTGCTTTGGAGGGTGGACTCTGTGGTGCTATATCCCGTCGGAAGTCCTTCCCCTCCCCAACTCCCACCGTCCTCAGGCTCCGCCCACAAACTCTCCATGCGTTTCCCAACCCAGGGCTGGCAGGCGACCCTCTGTGGGCCCCCTCCAGATCTGCCACCTGAGTCACCCATCTCAGTTGGCCTCACTGTAGAGCCGGCCCTTTAGACGTGTCAGGGAAACCGTGGGCCTGTGAGAATTCCCTGATGTGTGTGCACAAATCGGGGGACCTCCATCTCCTGGTAGTTCCAGGCCCCCGAGAGATCAAGTTTGCCCCTACTAGGGCCAGGGCATTTTCGGTGGTGGCTCCTACCTGGTGGAACGAGCTCCCAGAGGAGATCCGGGCCCTGCGGGACCTTATGCAGTTCCGCAGGGCCTGCAAGACGGAGCTCTTCCGCCAGGCCTTCGGGTAGGAGCCGCTGCCGCCACTACCCTACCACCGAGGTGGTGTGCCATCAGCTGCCCTACTAAAGGGGGGCAGGCATGGCATGGCCAAAGTATAGAGACAGCATGGCGGGAGACCGCGCTACTGAGAGAGCTGGCCGCCAAATTTGGATGGTTGTTCCCATCTTGAATGATTAATATAGGTACAGCACCGTGTTATAGGAAGGTTTTACTGTGGTTTAAATGTTGTATTTTATTATATGTTTTATTGTAGTTTTTATCTCGCCTTTGCCGCATGTGAGCCGCCCTGAGCCTTTGGGAGGGCGGGATAGAAATCGAATAAATAAATAATAAATATAAATAAATAAATGTGGAGGAACCTGTGATTGCCCTTCACATTTCGGGCAGGCAGCTCCAGCGTTACTGCGGCAGAACATGAAGCCGTTCCGTCTCCAAAGGGAAAGCCTTTGCCTTAATCTTCCCTTTTCAAAACAGATCTGAAGATATCCCCAGTTCCTTCTATTAAATACACAAAGTCAAATAGCATTGGGGGGGGGATGAAGTTCCAAAGGCAGCTGCCGTCGGCTCAGCCCGCTCTCGCACACGATGACACAGCACAAGCCCCAGCTGCCGCCTGAGCCCTGCAAGTGACTCCTACTAGTGACCTTTCAATAATAATGAAAGCACGACATCCCATCTGGATAGAACAGATGTGCCATTTTCCAAAAAACTGGACTAGATGTGCACTCTTCTGCAGATGGAGGGGCTGACGGGGAACAGATGTGCAGGCTCTGTGGACCGAACCGGATTAAACTAAAATGAAAGTTCTACAGAATGGCATGGGTGGAGGGGGGCCAGCTTTGGGTTGGGAAATTCCTGGAGATCTGGGGGGGGGGAGCCTGGGGCGGTGGGGGGTTCGGGGAGGGATCATTATGGGAGACGGGTCATTTCCTGCAGGAGCGCACAGGAGCAGAGCTCCGGCAGTAAAGAGCCCGGGGGGGCGGGCACATGCAACAAGCCCCGCCCCCTGCTCCCAGCAGCCCTCTACAGCTTAGAGGGAGCATTGGTGGTAAGATAGGGGTAGAATCTACCCTACTTCCTAACCTGGCACTGAAAGCAAAACAAACGTCCAGCCAAGGGCTTCTGGGAATCAGGAGGGGAACAAGAAGCCGGTGGCAATGTCTATTAAAAAAAAAATTAAATGATCTGAATGGAGTTCTGGATTGCAAAATGTACTTGAAAAAGGATCCAGATGGTTCTCAGGATTGTGAGTTCAGTTGGGTTCTGGCCAAACCACCTGCCAACAAGCAGTTCCATCCCATTCGAAATACTAAAGATAGCATTCGCAGACAAATTTAGCATTTCTAACATTGGAGGTGCACTTCTGAGCTCTCTTTATTTCCGTCATTTCTTCTGCACTTCTCGGGTGACCTTATGGACCAAAACGTAAGAGGATTGATTAATTGAATGGTGATAAATGGTGGGAAAAGAGGACAGCCAAGGTAATTGCTGGCTGTGTTGAGCTGAAATGCTCACCCGGGTACATTAAGGTGCAGAAGGCAGCCGCGTGGTGCTTGTCCAGGGCTTTCTTTATCCTCGCCCTGTGACCCCGGCTCACTGCAGTGCACGACGTATAACATGCAAGCGGCACCTACGTGCACAGAATCCAACCCGCAGAGGCCCAGTAACGTACAATCCGTACTCTGCAAAACGGGTGGCAAGCAATGTGCCCTCTAAGCTGTGGAGTCTTGTGAGCAAAAATTCTACTTTGTGAGCTACTGGCATTAAAGTTGTGAGCGAGCGATTTGGCTGCTGCATCAATTAGTTTGCTCTGGAGCCCTCCTTCCTGAGCTAAGACAAAAATGTGTGAGGCGGAGGCTAAAAAACTGTGAGCTAGCTCACACTAACAGAGCTTAGAGGGAACAGCGGTGGCAAGGATTGCATGTTATCGGGTCCTTGTACGTTGGGTTCCGTATAAGCAGGGACCACTCGTTACGTTCAGCATACATGCGTGGGGTGGACCATGTAGGGAGCTGAACATTAGGTTGTCAGGTGTCCGGTACTTATCCGGACAATCCGGTATTTTCACTGACTGTCCGGGGGGAAAAACTGAAAAAATACTGGGCATTTAATTTTTCCCAAACAGTAAGTCACAATACTGGACTGTCCAGGTCAACTGGCAGCACTGCTTGGTGCTGGGAGCTCTGCTGTCAGAGCACGCTCAGCTCTGTTTGCCCTAGGAAGAGGGGCGGAGCCTGGGAGGAAGGGGAGGAGCCTCACTGTGTCTGGTATTTTTTGGGGGGGGAATATCTGACGGCCCTAAGCTGAGCACCATCGGACTGCCTCACCGTGCTTTAAGTTAGGGGCTTTCAACCTTGTTGTACCTGTGGGCACTTTTGGATTTTTCAGTGTAGGCTGTGGGCACCACCACAGAATAATTGCTCTCAGGGGTTATTTCCTGCAGGAG